GCCTAACCTCACATGCATTCACTCCCAGAAACCTTGCTAGGTATAGACAGAACAGCCACAAGAGACTTTAACAAGAGCAAGATTGCACGCTTGCTTGAGAAAAAAGAGGTTGGAGATAGGGAAGGTATCCTCAAGAGCTGGGGTAGCTTAGGGATTTCTAAGCTAGGAAGAGGTGGGGTAGTAGGAAGACAGGTGTGAAAGGATAAGGCTGGGCATGAGGGAGGTAGATTCTGGGCTCTAGCTGGACCTGGAGAAGGACATTGCTGGAACTCAGCTGGCACCCATCTCAGAGCCATGAGACACTCACTGGCAGCCCTCACCTTATTCCTTCTTGTCACTCACTGTCCCTCCCATGACATTCCACTATAGTGGCCATGACTCCTCAAGGCAGGTGAGGTTAGGAAGAACTGGGGCACATCCTAAACTCACAGTTCTTACCCATTCATATCCCTGGCTGGAGACCTGAAAAAAGTAAAGCCTAGAGAAGAGCAGAAAGAGAGGAGTGCTGAGAGGAGAGGGGAGAGGGGAGAGGTTAGGGGGCATGAGGGACAGCAGGGTAGAATGCAGCTCAGGCTATCAGCTGGGGCTTGCTTAGCTCCTCTTGGTAGGGAGGTATCCAGGAGCGTGAACAAGGACTCCCCGCTGTCCACACGGATCAGAGAAGCCACACCCATCTCAGCCTCAACACTGAGATGTTGACACATGGTGCTCTGAGCCCTAGCAGCTTGGCACAGTGATCCTAGGGGCAACTATATCCTAGCATAGAAAAGATAAAAAGCTATTCTCTAAGGGGAGCTCCAAACCCTGGGGCTGGGTGGAGAAAGGACAGCTGAGGTGATCCTTACCTCGGCAGGCTCATTCAACTACACTAGGACCCCATGGGACTCTTGAGGTATACACATGCACGGGAACCCTAACTTTAAAGCACCTGAACCTCAGGCTCTTGTAAAAAAGAAACTGAAAGGAGAGTTCTGGCACAGGACAGGAATAGATCAGAATTCCACAGCCATGACCTGACTTGAAGTCACCTGAATGTGAGGGTATCAGGGCCCAGAGATATACTGTAGCAGCCTGGCTCGTTATGGTGAGCAGTTTGTAGAGGGCTGGTGGAGTACCTGTGCCCCACACTGGGGTTTCGCAGGACGAGAATCCTAGAAAGCAGCAGAAGGGGCAGGGTGGCCTAGCCATCTGTGTGAACAGGCCGAGCTAGTCAGAGCTCATCCCTGCCATGCTGCAACCCTTCCTAACCTTTGCTGTCTTTCCTCAGGGTGCTTCAGCTTCAAAACGGTGCATGATTTTACAGCTCAAGCAACTGCCCAGGGTCAGTTTCCAAAAATAAGACTGAAGGTATACTTCAGCGCCTCCCAGCAGATTCTAGAGAATCCCCTCAGCCACATGAGCTCTGCTCCATGGCCTGCCCCTAGACTGTCTCCCTTTCAGTGCCTCTGTCTCACTGACCAGTATAGTCCCCATGCCATTCTGGTCTGGTCTGAGAGGTTACTGATTCCACACTGATGGGATTCAGCTCAGGGTTGGTCACTGTTACTGTCTCGATGCCCTTCACTGAGCTCCTCTGGACATTTTGTCCTCTACAATGACCTCCTCCTCTACTTTTCCCAGTCTCCTCCATCAACTCCTAGTTCCCTCTCTGGCTTTAGACAGAAGGTTTGGGCGCTATGCTTTGAGGCTCAGGGACCATGAGGTGAGATCTATGCTACAGTGGCCGCAACTGCTCCCAGCACAGTGGCCGCAACTGCTCCCAGCACAGTGGCAAGGACCGAAAAGTTGTGTGCTAATAGCCCTGCTTCCAGAGCTCTTCCTTCAGCAAGTCTGGGCAACTTCCTCACCTTCCTGAAGCCCCGAGGCTGACTGTTCTCAGCACAGCCTCTCTGGTCTTGAACCCTGTCTTCAACCAAAGCAGTGGTCTGAGAGGTCAGTCATGACTGAGGCCACCCTCTACACAAATTCAGCAAGGACCAAAGTCCTCTAAGGCCTGCATAGAAATCGCTTCCGTCTTCCCCTAGCATTGCCTCAGCCAATCCTACTTTCTTTTCAGTTTCTTTTCCACAGGTTCCCCCTTGCCTCCTCTCACCCGCTCTTGGCCACTTCTAGTCTCCCTTCAACCTCTCCACCAACTCCCCTGGAATCCCTTCAGACTCCTGCCCCTGCTTTTCCCTATCCTCAACAACTTCCTACTACATGCTCCTGAAGCTGCATGGGTCCACCCTGGGTGGACTCTGACACCTAGTTCTGCCCGTGTCCTGATGTGGGCCCTTGTAGCCTAGCACCTACCCAGCTTTGATTCCCACCACCATTTGGGAGGCTGAGACTCCCAAATGGCAGTGTGTGGACAGAGAAGGGGGCACCTCACCCACCTTGAGTGGACTCTAGCCTTCCACCACAGACAATCAGACCTTTCAGCCTACGAACCCTGCCCCTGTAGACAGGCATCCTGGCCTTGATATCCCTGCCCTTGGCCTTCCTCAGTCCCCAACTGCAATACTTACACTACTTGTGTTCCAGGGTCTGTGTCTTTCTCCCTAGCTGGGTCAAAACTGGTGGGAAGAGTTACAACCTCCTAATCACAAGGTTGGACTGGGGTTAGAAACAATCAGAAGAAAATGTGAATCCCTTCAGCTAAAGACCTTCCCATCTTCTCCTGGAAGGCAGTTCCTGTACAACTTGAGGATGAAGTAGTGTGGACAGTCCTAAACATTTTTTTTTAAGTAAGTAGGGATTAACCAGTGAAAGCCACATCCTTATATTGACGATGTGGTAGATTTAGCTACACTACCTGAATTTACACATGTATCAGCTATGTGCCCACAAAGTTATGCATGAGGATCTGTGATGGCACATCTGAAGCTGATTGTAAAGGAAGGGAGTCTGGGAGGCTTCTGAAAGACAGGTCAAGGTCAACAAGGATCTGAAAAAATTCAGAGTTCACAGCTGAGGAAAGAGTTGTAAGGCAAAGTCTAGGTATGGGAGTCCATGCTACCAAGACAGTGGTTCTTAGAACCAGGAAGGGCAGAGCTGAACCTGCAGGTTGCTTCTCTCAGTTTCTCTCCCTTCTTGTATCTGTATTGAGTCTTCAGGGTGGACAATGGGTGCCTGCTTGAGTCCGATTAGAGCAAATCTGCCTCAAGAGCTAGACCAGTGAAGATTTGATGTGATTGCCTATTGTTGGGGCTGAAAGGGATGGAATTGAGGGACAGCAGCTTTGGTCCTCAAAGGTGCGGAGATATCTGCTGTGATGCCTGAAATGCAGCCATACTTGAGGAACCTCCAGGATAAAAGTGTCAGGTCTTAGGTGAACATGCTGGTGACTAGCAGGGAGAGGACCAATATGGCCAAGTTCTGCAGGCTTAATCAGGGAAGGAATTTGGGGGACAAAGCAGGATCTGGTAGAGGTACTTGGATCAGTAAGAGCCACTCAGCCACCAGGAGGCCTTGGGAAGGACCTGGGAAGGATCATCCCCATAAGTTCTAGAAGTCAGGGGTGGGGTAAAGTTGAATGACAGGGAGCACCTGGGCCCACTAAACTACTTAAAATGGAGAGGTCCTTCTGAAGAGCTGCCTGTCCACTGACGATCCTCTTCACTAATATTGGTGAAAGTTGCTACTGACTTCTTGGAGCCAGTCAAGGCCCCTGGGGACCTGCAGAACTATAGCCCTTAGGGATCTGGCTGCCCCTTAGTCAGTGTGCTGTCCGAGCACAGAGAATGGCAGAGAAACCTGGCTGCTGCTGAGATGAGATGGTAAGCTCCAGGGGTACAGAGAAAAGCACCTAGACAACACAGAAGGCACACACTCACTTCATGTTCTGGGATGCTGCAGCCCATGGAGAAGCAGGTGAGCGTGATGAAAGGGCATCCTTCCAACCTCCCTTGGCCCTTCCTGAGTACTCTGTATGAAGAAGTCAGTACTGTCTAGCCACAGCAACGTAAACCTTATTGAAACACTCTGTCAGACAACATACGCAAGGAGAACCCAGTACCAGATCCACAGTCTAAATGAATGGAAGGAGGAGGCAGCAGGAAGTACAAAAAAGAAGGAGGAGGAGGAGAAGGAGGAGGAGGAGGAGGAGGAGGAGGAGGAGGAGGAGGAAGTGGAGGAAGAGGAGGAAGAGGAGGAGGAAGAGGAGGAAGAGGAGGAAGAGGAGGAGGAAGAGGAGGAAGAGGAGGAGGAGAAGAAAGAAAGAAGAAAAGTAAAGAAAAAAGGGGGAGGAGGAGAGGAAGAAGAGAAAGAGGAAGAAGAAGCTTACCAACCAGGCATTCTGAGTCTGAGCTCTCCAAATCTTGTCTCCATAGCTCGGCCCTCCCCTGTCCTGCTAAAGAGGCATGCCCCCTTCTGTCTTTTCTAGTCCAGACCTTAAAGGAAATTGCAGGCTAGGGATCTCTTGCATCTGCTCTTGCTCTTCTGGAATAGGTGTCTAGTGAATTCCTCAGGGACCACATCCCCAATACCTCCAGAAAGATAATGAAGCTTTGATCCTCTTAGAATTTTTAAGAGGTCTGACCTTCCTCTCACCTTGGCAGGAGCTCCTTCAGTCCTACCTCCCAGATTCACTGAACCATCTGAGAGGAGAACCATCCTCCCTCCAGACAAGGGGTCATGAGTTTCCCTGGATTTAGTCATAAGTAACATTTGTTTGTTTGTTTGTCTGTTTGTTTGACTACTCTGGACCCAGACTTCACTTACAAGTAAGTTTTCTCAGTGCAATATCAAGTCCCAGGGTACCAAGAAGGGCAGCATCCAGAGAAGGAGTTGGGCACAATAGGGCCATGAGCTAGAAGGTGGGGCAATGCCCATCCTGTAGGATGGAGTGTGGTGCCTCTGGGTTAGCTGGTGCGTCCGCTTCTCCAACCAACTCCCTGCGCCAACTCCTTCTCTTCCCCAGAAGGGGATAGAAAGGGCAAAGGCAGGTGGTACAGACTCTAAGGGCATGGCTATGACTCAGTCACAGGATACCATGATCCCCAAAACCACCGGCCTCTTACCGACTTTGGCCAAGCTGGCCACGAGGATCCAAAGCGCTATGATGTACGGGTCCTGGACGTGGTGCCATTTGAACGTGACCACCTGGAAGCTCCCACCTTCGCTCGGTTCCTCCTCAAAGCCTCTTGCCCCTCGCAGGCTGGTCAGCGCCAGCGCCAGCGCCAGCAGCGGCTTCCAGCCTGGTCCCAGAGCCTGGTGCCACATCGCCGCCTCTCAGCTCTGGGAGCCAAAACGCATACCTTGGTGAGTGCCTGCTGCGCTCTCTATCGCAGCCCTCTGCGCGATCTCGGTGCTGGCAGCAGTCAGGTCCCCTGGCCGGCCCGGGTGGCCTTTAATCCCGCTGCCCCCTCCCGCGCCAGGGCGGGGCCTTCCCGCCCCCGCTGCGCACACGTGAACGCAAACAGTGCTGCATTAGAGGCACTCCCCGACTGCCCTGCTCACGCCCACCTAGTTGGTTGGCCCCCTGCTTGGACGTCTGGGCTCCCTGGGTGCCTCGGCTCCTGAAACAGCTGCCAGGACCTGTGGATTTCGAGGTCCTCGAGGTGGCTCGCCCCCAAGGTCGAGCGGTACCCCGTCCACAAGCAGCCGCTTCCCTCACAGAGGGACGCAGCGCGAGGCGTGTCACTGCCAGGGGGACCTACTTCTCCCACCGTGGCCCCCTCAGTACCAGATGGTCTGCCGCACCCCTTTACCTACACGCGGCAAGGCTCCTCTCCATTGAAAGGAGTCCTGGGTAGCCACCTGGTCATCTAAGTAAACATGAGGCATTATAGAAAGACAGAGAAAATTAAGGGGACATAGGACAGGAAAGGGACTTCTCATTTCAGAGTATCCTAAGCCTCTGGCTAAGTAAGAGTCAAGAATTCCATCACAATTAAAAACGGCCGTGAACTTTGCATGCGTACAGTATCCTTTTATATGGAAAATCTTTAATGTTAAAATGGCAGTGAACCACGTTTAATGCCTAAGTGTATATGACTTTAATCCCTTTCCCAGATATAAGCCTGCAATTTTCTGGGAATCTCACAAATAAGACTATAAACTTTGTTTATAGAAAAGACAAAAACAAAAAAATTATCATAGCTGGGGTGGTGATCCCTGGCTGTTACATCAGCATTTGGGAGGTGGAGGAAGGAATTCAAAGCAAGCCTTGGCTGTGTAAGCAAATTTAAGGCCGGTTTGGGATATATGAGACCCTGACTCAAACAAACACAACAAAAAGCCATGTCTTAACCCCCTTGAACAATCTTTGCAATCCAAGGTTTCACCTTATCAGCAGTAATCCTATTTGGTGTACCCTAAACCCTACCCTACCATCACATTTAGGGAAAAAGAAAAACTTCTCAGCAACCCTTTAAGATGTAACTGTAAAGACACTTTAAGAGATGCCCATACACACATATTCATAATGTCCTTTCCCTTGGGTACCTTTTTTGGTTAACCCCTATTTCTAAATCTGTTACAATCTTTCTATACACTCCAGCTTTGCTTCACACTGACCTCCTCTGAAATTCTTTCTGTGTCACAGTCAAGAAGCCCAAATCCACCTGCGTAGACCGCTCTTCAGCTACAGGTGCGGTGTCTGCAGCCAGTGTTGCCAACCAGTCCACACTCTGTAACAGCACAATTCAGGCCTCCTCAGCTCCTAAGCCCTGCATACTGTGGTCTGGGAGTCTCCCTTCCGTAAGAGCAGTTCTTACCTAGGCCTGTGAGCACAGCTCACTCCATTGTCATTCAATGCTCTTTATGCCCATCGGTGTTAGTTTCTCCTCAGTGGGGGTTGCAATCTAGGCATCTTAGCTCCCCGTAAGGGCTAACTTTCTAGGCCCTTTCTACTTTCCAAACTTACCTTTCAACCACAGTCCCTCGCAGCTCCTCTTCCAACCTCACTCAAGCTTTGAAAGCTCTTGGATAGATACTCTTCAGCTTTAGGACCTCCTTACCCAACCCAGAAGATCGATCCAATTCTCCCTGGATTCAATCCATCTTCAGACCATAGTTCCTCATAGATAACCCCCTGCTCTGCTTGCCCAGACAGGCAACACCCTTCTCTGAGGCTTCAGACATTCCCCATGCTCACCACTTGAGCTCCCTGAGGTCTTGATCTCGTGTCTAGTGTTTTGATACTGAGCTCCTGACTTCCTGACAGATCTGCGCCTCAGCTTAGCTCAGTCACCAGCCACTAGGCTGTACTTCCCTGGGCTGCCCTCTGTGGAATGTGTGCTTTGTAAGTGAGGGGCTGTAGCGGGAACATGGCTGATCTCCGGGACTTAGAATAGTGCCTAGCAGCATGTATGAAATACTGAATGGGTGGATGGGAGGTTAACTGAACAAGGGATTGGTGGTTGGACCCAGGACAGGTGGGGTTACTTTTTAGCATCTAAGCCTAGAGGTCAGGGCTCCCAGGAGGGAAGTACTGAGCTAAGTGGCTTTATTTTTGTCTCTCTATTTTATGCTGTTGGGTGTTGGCTTGCATGGCAGGGTGGTAGGGTTGGGTTGTTGGGTGATGAGTGTTGAGGCAGAGGATGGGTGGTTGGACTGAGCCAATCACAGGGCCTGGCACAGAACAGGGCATCATAACTCTGTAATTGGCCATCAGACTTGCATTATTGTATAGTGAGTTGCTGGAATTGCTCCCAGTTCATATGGTCTACCTGAAACTGCTGTTCCCAGTCACATTCCCAGCCTTCTGTCTCAGAGGAAGGCTAGGAGAATGAGAACAGTGTTGTTTCTAGTTCAGAAGCTCCTGGGTAGAGCCTCAGGTGGGCATACTTTCTGGATGCTGCCCTTGTATTACACAGGAAGGCCAGACCACATGACAAGAGTATGTCCATGATGTCCAATGGCCTTCCAAGGATTTTATCTGTACCTGCCTAACCTGAGGCAGCCAGGAGCCCAGGCAATTCAAATGAAGCTGAATAACATTGCAATGTACATATGAAAACTCAAGCTGAACACTGAGGCCGTCCACGGCTGTTAATGTGATGTGCCCCTTACACTGCACACCTCCTAAGACAAGGTGAAACATGTCTAATTGGGGAGAGAATGCAAAGAGCCCCTGCAGTGTCACAGACAAAAGCAAGGCACCCCATAACCCCCTACTCATTACTCAGGTGAGAGCTTGGCTGTGTGGCAGGGTCTGTAGGCACTTGAGAATTAAGTTTCACATGCCCCCAGGCTTGCTAGAAGGCTCCAGCAGTGAGTGTTCCCACACTCTGGTGATGGAAAGGAGTGAAGCAGTGGTCATGGACACCAGCCATGGCAGAAGCTGTCATGATAGGTATGTGGTGTTGTATCTCATCAGTGGACTGGGGCCAGGTTGCAGGCAGTTTTCTTCTGCAAGCCTCTGGTTTTAGAAAGCTCATGCCATCCCGCCAGGCCAGGGCACCCACATTTGGAAAACAGTATGAGTGGTGACAGCACTAGCTGTGCCTGGGGAAAGGCGAGCTCATTACAGAGCTGCCCTGCCCTTCTTTCTTGGGCTGTGTATTGAAGTTGCCCACGGGGGACCAAGCAGAGTTCGAAGAGGTCCACCTGGGAACTCTTCCAGAAACCAAAACCAAAATCGCCACTCAAGGCAGAGTTATTGTTACTTTTTTTTCCCTTGGTTGCTAGTATACAATTGAAGATTGAATTTCTCAAAAACAAATGAGCATCGTGTTTTATGTCTGCCTGTTAGTGCCTTTGACACTCCCTGCTCAGGCCTGGGCCTTTGCCCAGCTTGGAACTTGCAGGAGAGTCCCTTTGGACACTTGGCCTGTATTCTGCTCCTGACTGTGCCAGGTAAGCCCAGGTCTCATCTCACGTGGCAGATGGGCAGGGCACTATCACTGTGTTTCTGGCTCCTGGGAAACGTGGGAGCTGCTTGGGCTAGGCACACCTAAGCCAGCAGCAAAGCCACTATAGGGAAATGGGGTATTTGTGCTGCCAATCCCAGACGGCTCTCAGTGGGCTGAGCTGAGGCCAGAGGCTGCTCTGGCTCTGCTGCATTGCATTCTTTTCTAATTGATTAATTAATTAATTCACTTTACATCTCAGTCATAGTCACCTCCCTTCTCTCTTCCCAGTCCCACCCTCTTTCCCTATCCCCTCTCCCCTATTCCTCAGAAAAGGGGCACCCCCTACCCACCCACTCCAGCTTATCAAATGGCTTGAGGACTGATTTTTGTCCTCTTCCCAACCCAAATGTCCCTCAACTGAAGAATGGATAAAGAAACTGATATAATTACACAAAGGAATACTATTCAGCCATTAAAAATAAGGGAAAATAGATGGAACTAGATAAGATCATCCTGAGTGAGGTAACACAAACCTAGAAGGACACGCTTGGCATGTACTCACTTATAAGCAGATTTTAGCCAGGTAGCACATACTGTAATTCACAGACCCAAATAAGATCAATAAGGAGGAGGGCCCAAGGGAGGATACTTAACTCTCACTCAGAAGGGGAAACAGAATAGACAGAAGTAGTGGCTGACAAGAGGGAACAAGGTAGGAGAGGGTACAGAGAAATAAAGGCGGATATCAGACCTGGGGAGAGCAGAGGCCGGGAGGACAGAGGCCTGCAGAGAAAAGAAAAATTGGGGGTAGGGACATCTCTGTGACAAGCTGGAGACCTAAGTCAAGGTAGGCCTCTGGGAGGATATGAGGGGGACTCTAGCTGAGACTCCTAGTAGCAGAGGCCGTGGAGACTGAAGAGGACACCCTCTATTAGACAAGACTCCTAGTGAAGGGAGGAGAACACCAACCCACCCACAAAAAAACTCCGATCCAAAACTTACCCTGCCTGCAAGACCTGCAGAGACAAAGATAGAGTAGATAGATGAGAGATTGAGGGAATGTCTAGCCAATGCCTGGCCCAACCCAAGACCCACCCCATGGAAGAGAGGCAGGTCCTGACACTATTACTCTGCTATGGTTGCAGACAGGAGCCTAGTACATTACATTCTGAAGTGAGGGTTAGAGGCAGTAGGGTCTCAGGACCACAACTTTCCCAGCCCCTAGCCCTGCCCTGCTCTTCCTGTCACCTGTTCATCTTCCAGTTGTCACGTGTCACCCTGACTCACACTCTGTGAGGCACCATCTTTCCTGGGGAAGTTTCCCAGTTCTTGATCTACTCGGCAGGATTTTTCAGCTCTCTTCCTTGCTAGATCTGATTCCCAGAGGAACACATTTGGTGCCCTAGTATGTGGATATTATTAAGTCCCCCTTTTACCCTCCCGTCCCTGGGCTGGGTCCCCACCTGTCTGGTCCTCTATTGACAGCCCCACAGATCCTGCATAGGCCCCGTGGTACAGCCAA